GCATTCCATTCATAGCATCATTTTTGTTCTACACAGTGTTCCAAGGTTTGGTAAAGCAAAATCCAGAAATTACCTGCTTCTGCTCCCCAGTGTGATAGCAGAATACATACTAAATGGTGATAGAGAACAAGAACCTGATGTTGGCTGGGAATTAAGGAAGACTTTAGAATAAATAGGATGACTTTTGGACAACATTTTTAGCAGATTAGAAAACAACACTTTTTAGTTGTTGTGAACTTCTTCCCTTCCTTATTCTTACTTTTCCTCAGCCCTGTCCCTGCAAATACCACCTACTAGTGACTTGTCTAGGACATGGCACTGCCTACTGCATACCCAAGACATTCTTGTTTTGATCTTTCCTGCCTACATTTTACTTGCCAATAACATGTAATTGCTTATGTTTCATATTTCCTGGGGAGTCTACTAAGATAAGATCCTGAAGGTGATATAAAACTGGAATTTATGCTAAAATAACAATGACCAACAGATCAACAGTGATATTTAGTAAGAATTAGGGTTAGAACAGACTTGGTTTTATCTCACAGGTCTTTTTAGCCCTGTGATATTGAGCAAGTTGCTGAACATACAGAAACTACAGTTGACTTGTATGCAAATAGATGTCACAAAGGTGCCTACTCCATGGGCTTATTGTAAGTATAAAATCAAATAATGTAGGTAAAATTCCTGGTATACTTTAAACTGAGTGCATCATCACCTTCCGTCATTATAAAATGAATATTGTTCCTAAATAAGAAAATTGCATTTAAACAAAGGTCTTCATTATTTTTAGCTCATAGGGATGAATCAGGATGTAAATATCAGGTACTATTTTTTTAGTAATGACCTTGGAATTCACCAAAATATATTATGAATGAAGGCATTCTACTAAATACAATAAGAAACATCTTTTTTTTTAATCACCCTCTTCCCTTGCAAACTCATTTAATGTAGAACAATGAAGAAGAGCTATTTAGGGAAAAATCTACATCTCTGTTTCTCAGTGTTAAACAAAAGAAATGGCATGATTTCCTTCAGGGTTTTTGGAAATTTAACTTTATTGCTTTAGAAGTTCTTACCAAAGTCCTTTGAATGGTAGAGGATCTGGATGCTAACGTCTACACTTATTATTATTATTATTTTAGATGAAGAAACAGACCTATTGACATGCTGAAAATATGTGATCTAGGTTTTAGTCTTAATTTTGTCACTTGATAATTTATTAAAGTCAATTTCTATCTATCCTCATATACTTACTTCTCAGATATCCTCTTCCTGAAAATACCTGTCTTACAACTAAACAGGGCAGTTATGACATTAACATAAAGTGTGAATTGAAAGCACTTTGAAAAGGAAAACAACACTCTACAATTATATGAATAATTATTTCCATCATAAACACCACAGCCAGAAGCCAAATTTATACATCATCACTTCATTATTGGAGATGTTGGTATACGATCACTTTTTAAAAGACTACATTTTTATTTTTCATGATTTTTGCACTTTCTGTTTACTTGCTATCTTATTTACTTGCTTTTATCTAAAAGCAAAAATCTGTCAAATCTGCAAAATTGCTCAGTTTAATCTCTTTCCTGCATCTGTTTCAGTGACGTTGATAATGGTTGTGATTCACTTCACTGAGAACCTGAACCTACTACTATAGACTCGACTCAGACTCAGCAGAGTCCAACTGTCCCACAGGCTCTGATCTTTTCAGAAGCCTACAGAGTTACTGAGGAATATTGGTGTGGTGCTGTGGGTTAACGTGCCAGACTGCAAACTCATTTGAACTTCAAGGTCAGCGGTCCAAGCTCACCACTGTCTGCTCCTTGGAAACCCTATACAGGGTCACTATGGGTTAGAATCGACTCGATGGCACTTAACAACAACAACAGAGCTACTACTGATGGATTCAAACCACCAACCTTCTGGTGAGTACTTAACCAGTGCAACACTAGGATTACTTTGATTATCTGAAAGGTATAGCTAATTACCAGGCAGGGATAGAGGTCCTGTTGAACATTTCTTAATGAGATACTAAGGACCACCTTCCAGCTTAGGAAAGCAGATGGTTGCATAAAGGACCAGGAGACTGAGGAAATGGGAAACGTTAGTTGGTGTTGGAATCGTAGAGAGCAAATTCTAGAGCAATACTGGCTAGGTTTCGCCTGAAAAAGGAGCTGGACTTCCCAATACTGTCAAATTTACCATCTTTCTCAGCATTACATAAAGTTCTTCTGGCAACCAATCAGAGGGATTTGTTCTCCAGGAATTTTTAAAAAGTGCAACAGAAGTGATCATATAATCACTGAAGCAACAAAAAACAATACAAAAATGCATTGCACTAAATCACAGTGCTTCCATGTGGTCATTTAATCATACTGTTATATATATGGGTGCTATTTTGTTGTTAAGTGCCATCAAGTCGGTTCCAACTCACAGCGACCCTGTAGAGGGTTTCTGAGGAGCAGCTGGTATATTTGAACCAACAACTTTGCAGTTCAAACTGAGCATAATGTAGAGTGCTTATCTTATGGCATCACCCCAGGACTCTATTGTTGCTATAGGAAATCTTTTTACTTTAAGAAAATGTAGAGCACAAAAGATAATGGAAGTCCACATTTATAAAATACAAGAGAGAATTGTTTCATTTAGAGAAGATACTTACCTTTGCACAAAGTTTATTAAAAAGCCACTTTAAGCAGATTAAAAATACATCATTAGCAAGAGTAGCATGTGCTATTAGAAGCCAGTTTGAATTTAATGTCAATGCAAACAAAGATGAAGCAGCTTGAACTATAATTAAGCCATTGGATTTTTAAAAACTAATTTACCAAACTTTGATTTTCACAAAAGTTCTCAGAAATGTAACTTTATACAATGTGAGTCACAACAATAGAATGTTGAGAGGACATGTCTGACCCTGAACAGATTTTCTCTTTTAGTTTCTTCAGGTTTAGCAAGGAAAAGTGAAGTATAATTATCAAGCAGGGGTATCAGAAGGCCATCATAGATTGCCCATTAGGTTCTGCTCAAGGAGTAGCATCTAACCAGATGAGTGCAAACTGCAAGGAACTATGTGAATTCTACTAGTAGATCAGAGCCTCAACTAGACATGGTTTCTACCTTATTGATTTTGTTTGAATAAATTGTGAGACCACTGGAGGAATCCAATAGTACAAGAGAGACAGATTGAAGTAGATTAAAGGCATAGATTAAAAGCTAAAATAGTTACCTTGATGATTAAGGTACACCTAGCCCAAGGCACAAGAAGATTTCAAAAAGTTCATAGAAAAATGTAGCTAAAAGATAATGGAGTTTTTCTATGAACTTTGTGAAGTAAAATATGGTTAATAAATAAAGAAGACTGAAGAATAATTGATGCACTTGAATTATAATATTGATAGAGAATGTTGACTAGATCATGGAATTTCAGAAGAGTGAACAAATGTGTCTTGGAAGTAGTGTTGTCAGAATGTTCATTAGATGGGAGGATGGAAAGGCTTTGTATGTGTCATCAGTAGGGATCATTCTCTAGAGAAGGACATCATGCTTGGTAAAATAAAGGTCGGCAAAAAGAGGAAGACCCAAAATGATATGGCTTGACAAAGTGACTGTAACAATGGACTCAAACATAGCAACACAAGTGAGGAGGGTGCAGAGCCCAGCTCAGTTTCATTCTGTGGTACCTGGATTCACTATGAATCGGAATGTACCCAATGATACATAACAATAATAACAAAGGCATACAGGAGTTATTTCTGGTTGTAGGTTCAACCTGACTCTGGAAAGAAGAAGGTTTCCTGTATTATTTTCTCTATTGTTCTATGAATGCAATGTAGTCAACTCTGACTCATAGCAACCCGATAGGTTGACTTTGTTGTTGTTGTTGTTGCTAAGTGCCATTGAGTCAGTTCCAACTCCTAATGACCTTGTATAGAGTTTTCAAGAAGTGGATGTTGAGTTTGAACCTCCGACCTTGCATTTCAAATCAACCTTGTGGTCAAGTGCCTATCCTACAGCGCCACACCAGGATGCCACATAGGACAAACTAGACCTGCCGTATGATTTAGTGGTTACGAATCGGGCTGTGAGCCTCAGGGACAACAGTTCGAAACTACCAGCTGTTCCGCGGGAGAAAGATGAGGTTTTCCACAGCCTAGGAAACCCTGTACATGGTCGCTATAAGTCAGAACTGACTCCACGGCACACCACAACAACAACAATCTTAATGGGAACAGATTACCGGGTCTGTCCCCCTGTGCAGCCACTAGCAATTTCTAACCACCAACCTTTCAGTTAGCAGTTGAGTGCTGTAACCATTATACCAGAGCCTCTTTTATATCTAGTCATGTGTAACAAATTACTTAAATATGTTAAGGTTTATAACAAGAATCATTTTATTTACGCATAGCTCTGTGAGTCAGAAATGCAGGTAAGACAAAGCTAAGAGATTCTCCTGTTTTATGTGGTATGGGCTAGAGTACCATATGAGACTATAATTAGATAGCACCTGGAGCAAGGACATCCAAGTGGCTTCAACAATCAGTGTGGTGTCTTGCTGGGGACAGGTTTTTTTCCATATGGTAAGCTTAGATTTCTTTACATGGTGACTGGACACCAGGGACAAGCATTTCAAGTGTTAAAGGCAGAAAATGCATAACTGTTAAAGATCAGTCACAGAAGTTACATACCGCTTTTATCACACCCTCCTTGTTAAAACAATCACAGGTCTAGCAAAGGTCCAAGGGAATAGGAAAAATACATGATATTTCTGATGAGGAAATGGTAAGGACACATCAAAATAGCATGTGGAATAGGAGAGAGTGTGATAGCCAACTCTGGAAATACAATCTACCAAAAGTGCACAAAGATTTCTGCAAAAACCATGTGTATGGTTTCTTTCTCAAAATTCTCAATCTGAAGCTTGAAACAGCCATCCTTGACACTATGTATGCTAAGAAGAAAAGATACAAGCTAACAGATAAATTGGCACTCACCTGGCGGAAATGTTCCAGGTCAATTTTGTTGCCCACCAGCACCAGAGGAATTTCATAGGTGTGGCGGACCTGGAAAATGAGTTCTTTAAACTTGGCTGCCTCCTGGAATGACTGGCGGTCAGTGATGGAGTAGCAGATGATGAAACCTTCTCCACCTCGCATATACTGCTCCCTCATAGCTGTGAATTCTGCCTGCAGCAAAAGAACAATCTTGCTCTGTAATTTAACTCTGTAAAGCCAATTCATAGCATGAATCAAATGAAAAGATCGAAGCAGACAAATGATAAGAATTAATATTTTCGGTAGGAATTTTCAAAATTAGGTGTGTGGAATTTAGATATAAAGAAACAATGCTGTTGTTGTTAAGTGCTATTGAGTCTGTTCTGAATCATAGTGTCCATGTATAGGGTTTTGGAGGAGTGGCTGGTTAGCTTGAACCACCAACCTTGCAGTTCAAACCAACTTTGCAGTCCAGCACATTAACCCACAGCACCACACCAGGACTCCAATACTAAACTATCACATTGCTTATCTTTAAAGACAGTTCAGTTTTTTTAAAATGACATGCTGAAAAACATTTTACTTATGAATTTTAGAGATTAAATATAGATTA